AAACTGACCCTAACAGCAGAAAGACTGGGAATGACTGGTCACTATGACACACACTGACCACCAGGGGGCAGACTCTCAATGCAGGAGCTGCCCTCTGGTGGTCAGTGCGCTCCCACATGGGGGAGCTCTGCTCAGCCACAAGCCAGGCTGATGGCTGCCAGTACAGCAGTGGTGGTGGGAGCCTCTTCTGCCTCCTCAGCAGCGCTAAGGATGTCTGACTGCAGCTTAGGTCTGCTCCCCGCTGGCAAGTGGACATCCCCCGAGGCTGCCGGGCTGCCAGAGGGATGTCTGATTGCCAGCTTAGGCCCAACCCCCCGGGGAGCAGGCCTAAGCCAGCAGGTGGTCATCCCCCGAGGGGTCCCAGACTGCGAGAGGGCACAGGCCAGGCTGAGGGACCACCCCCAAGTGCACAAATTTTTGTGCACCGGGCCTCTAGTATACTAATAAAGCTCTTGATGGCGCCAATCGCACGCCTGTGTTTCAATCTGTCATTGTCAGTCGTGAATTTGGTTGACACTTCTATTAAAGAGAAAGGGTGATAGCAGTATTAAAATATTTTTTCTAATTTCCTTTCAATGTGCAGTAAATAAAAAGCCCTAGACAGTTTGCTCAATGGATAGAGCATCAGCTTTTAGACTGAAGGGTCCCAGTTTTGATTCCGGTAAAGGACATGTACCTCGATTGCTGGCTCAATCCCCAGCCCTGGTTGGGGCGGGTGCGGGAGGTAGCCAATTAATGTCTCTCTCTCACATCAATGTTTCTCTCTCTCTGTCTCTCCCCCTCCCTTTCACTCTCTCTAAAAAAAAAAAAAAAATTAATGGAAAAATATCCTGGGGTAAGTATTAACAACAACAAAAAAGTAAATCCTTGTCATTCATGTTATTTTGATTATAAATACTTCTACTTCTGTATGTACCTCTTACTGATAATCTTTTTTAAAATGTTTTTATTGATTTCAGAGACAGAAGGGAGAGGGAAAAAGGGATAGAAATATCAATGATGAGAGAGGATTATTGGCTGCCTTCTGCCTGTCCCCTACTAGGGACTGAGCCTGCAATCTGGGCATGTACTCCCACCAGGAATCAAACTGTGACCTGGTTCATAGGTCAACGCTCAACCAAGAGCCACACTGGTTGTTGGGCTAGCGGACATTTTTATTTTTTATTTTTATTTTTTTAAAAATATATTTTATTGATTTTTCACAGAGAGGAAGGGAGAGGGACAGAGAGCCAGAAACATCCATGAGAGAGAAACATCCATCAGCTGCCTCCTGCACGCGCCCCCCCCCCCCCCCCCCCCCCCCACTGGGGATGTGCCTGCAACCAAGGTACATGCCCTTGACCGGAATCGAACCTGGGACTCTTCAGTCCACAGGCCGACGCTCTAGCCACTGAGCCAAACTGGTCAGGGCTAGAGGACATTTTTAAAGTACTCACTCCTACCTTTACAAGGCAGTATGATTGGACTACTGTAATGAACAAAAGGGAGTCTTATTTTTTATTTTCTAAGGACTTATGATTCTTTTTGGAGGACCATACTCATGTAACATGATACTATACAGGTTATGGTGAGAGTATAGTGTTCCAAGTCATGCCTAAAGCTGATAGAATGCTTTTGTTTCTGTTTTTTGTTTGTTTGTTTGGTTGGTTTGTTTTAAAGATAACTTAATCATGTCCTTTTTTTTCTCTCTTTTGTTTTTATAGCACCTGACAGATACTTCCCATGGTGTAAGAAATAAGTGCCTGCAATTACTTGGCAATCTCGGCTCTTTGGAGAAAAGTGTCACAAAGGATGCAGAGGGCCTAGCTATCAGAGATGTCCAGAAGATTATAGGGGATTACTTCAGTGACCAAGACCCGCGTGTCAGAACAGCAGCTATAAAAGCCATGGTAAACATGATCACGGGAACTAAATTGGGACAGTTTTATTTGTTTGTTTGCCTGTTTTCATTTGTACATGGGCAATGCTGCCTTGGATACATTCGGAATCCCCCCGGGATACACCTTATCCATACTTTTCAGGAAGGTGTTGGTGGCATCAGTGGGCTCAAAGGCACACATTTCTATATAACAGGTGTGCTTTTCTTTGGGCTTCTCTGGTAGCTTTCACTTGCATTTCTGAAACATGGCAGCACCACCCCCTCTGCATATTGTCTTCCAGTAGGCTCAGGTTGTACGTTCCATGTTTCCGAAATATAGGAGAAATTTACCAGTGTGAGGGGGTTGCTTTTTAGGAGGAAATGGTGCTAATCATGTCTTCCTCAGCCTCCTTATAATTGTTTCATGTTTTTCTAATATCCCTTTGGAAGAGTCCATGGGTTAGATTTATCAAGTGTTTGATTATGTCTACTAAAAAGTCTTTGACCAGGTTTCTTATTTATATAGATAGCACTGATTTTGGCTAATGGAAACCATGTTAATCTGTTATAATGCAGGAAAGTATTTGAGATTGTGGGGAGACATTGGAAAAAGGGATTTTTTCCCCCAAATACTTACACTGTATCTTTATTTTATAGTTGCAGCTTCATGAAAGAGGACTGAAATTACACCAAACAATTTATAATCAGGTACTTTAAATGACTATCTGCAAGGAAGGGGAAGTATGAAACTGGGAGGGTGGCATATTGGTTGTCAGGATTTGAAAACAGAGCTTCAGCTAGCTTATAGAGGTAATGTTAATTGGGATGAATGTGAGGTTGTATTCAAAACAGATTCTATGAAGAAAATGGGGATATGTAATTGAATAGGTCTAGTGTATATGAAAAGGACTTTTAGGAGGATTTAGGTAGCACATTATAAATATCAGAGTATACAAAGAGAAGTGTAGTATTCAGAATAAGGAAAGTGCTATTCTTGCTGATCTCTGGTTGCTTGGGCTAAACCTGAAGTCAGTTCTGGGAACCACACTTGACAAACTGGAGGATGACCAAGACCCAGGATCATATGAAAAGTTATCAAATGCTTATTGTAGTACTGGTAAAGAGAGGCACAATGAATTTATAGTATCGCTAGGAGAAGCTGATTGCCTCACCAAAAGGCCTTACAAAGTGGTATTTCTCTTGTAGAATAATTGCAGGAATCTAGAGACAGGCAATCTAAATCCATGCTCAGAGACCAGATTTTGTTAGTCTATCAAAGTGGGTTTATCTTTCAGAGGAAGATTATTATAGCCAAGCCCCTATGACTGATGAGCATACCAAGTTTATTCTTTAAAAAAAATGAAGTAGAATGAGTTCAGAATGGTTGTTTTGACGCGACTGGCCCCTTCTCTCCCTATTAGAAAACTATTGGGAAGCCAAATAATTAAAGGAAACTTGGCAAGTAAGGACTCAGAGGAAGAAAGGTCAACCAGATAGATGATCGATATATTTAGTGGCATGAGACTGTATCAGTTAAGTAGTGTTAAAAAACAAATTCAGCCAGGTATATTTAAAGATCTAATTGGAGCCATTGAATACTAGTAATTCATGAATTGGGCAACATCCCATATAGTAAATAGAAGGATGTTTTGAGGAGTTGTACAAAGTGGGAGGTTTTTGTAGGCAGAAAGAAGATGGGCCAAGGAAATTTAAAAAGTGGATTATTTTGGGCAAGGTTACTTTCCCTTAGGGCAGTGGTTCTCAACCTGTGGGTCGAGGCCCCTTTGGGGTCGAACGACCCTTTCACAGGGGTCACCTAAGACCATCGGAAAACACATATATAATTACATATTGTTTTGTGATTAATCACTATGCTTTAACTATGTTCAATTTGTAACAATGAAATTGGGGGTCACAATAGGAGGAACTGTATTAAAGGGTCGAGGCATTAGGAAGGTGAGAACCGCTGCCTTAGGGGAAGGTTACTTTCCCTTAGGGCAGCGGTTCTCAACCTGTGGGTCGTGACCCCTTTGGCGGTGGAACAACCCTTTCACAGGGGTCGCCTAAGACCATCCTGCATATCAGATATTTACATTACGATTCATAACAGTAGCAACATGACAGTTAGGAAGTAGCAACGAAAATAATTTTATGGTTGGGTCACAACATAGGAACTGTACTTAAAGGGCCAGAAGGTTGAGAACCACTACCTTAGGGGGTCTTATCAGGCAGATTACCTCATTAGTGCTGACCAGGAAATTCCAGACTAATTGGTTTAAAATTCCATTCTTGGGAGAAGCTGAAACTGTAGTTAGGTTAGGTCAGTGATGGCGAACCTTTTGAGCTCGGCGTGTCAGCATTTTGAAAAACCCTTAACTTAACTCTGGTGCCGTGTCACATATAGAAATTTTTTGATATTTGCAACCATAGTAAAACAAAGACTTATATTTTTGATATTTATTTTATATATTTAAATGCCATTTAACAAAGAAAAATCAACCAAAAAAATGAGTTTGCGTGTCACCTCTGACACGCGTGTCATAGGTTCGCCATCACTGGTAGGTATTAAGTCTTGGTGGGCTTAGCACAAGCTGATGGAGTAGCAAGTTCTGGTCAGAGCATGGAATTTAGGATTTTAAAATCTCAGACATGGAGTAGTTCTGGATGTTGTTGAAGTCAAGGGTGTTGCTATGACTATGAGTGGAGTAGAGATATGCCATTTCAGACCAAAGTAAAACAGAAAAATCTGGCCTCTTTTGGCAGCTTAGCATTAAAATTGTGCAATTATTTCAGAAAGATTGTCAATCAGAAATTTGTGCTTTGATTTCACAGATAGGCAAAAAACCATCTCTGGTGTTTGAGCCTGTGAGAGCAGCAGTGTGGGCTCCCAGAAGGCTTTACTGGAATTGTGCTCTTTTAGATGGCGTTTGTGTGCTATCAGGCTGTGGTTCTGCTTCCAGACTTGAGATGGGAGGGCTCAGTCAGAACACAGAGCAGCTGACAGAAGCCAAGAATTCTTTGTTGGGCAAAGGCTCAAGTAGCTAAAACCACCCACAGGTTTTATGATTAGCATCCTTATCCAGCCACCCTATCTTCATTGTGAAAATAGTTTAAACATCACCTTGGGGGGATACAAAACTAATAGACTTTTGGAATCCTTGTTTGCAGGCCTGTAAATTGCTCTCTGACGACTATGAACAAGTGCGCAGTGCTGCAGTCCAGCTTATCTGGGTTGTCAGTCAGCTCTATCCTGAAAGGTCAGTGTGGGTGTAAGCCAGCTTTCATTCATTGCTAAGCCATTTTTCTCTCCTCCCACTGTGTAAAAAGCCCACCTCCAGAAGAAAAAAAAAGTTGGTTAGATTTTTTGAAGGCAGTGTGAAATAGGGGGAAAGTACAGACCCTGGAAATCAGGATATCTGGTCCTGATTCTTTAGCTCTGCCATCCTTTCTGTGTATCTTTGGAAAGATACTTCAACTCTCTGGGTCCCAACCTCCTCTTTTGTAAATGAAAGTTAAATGAAGGGATGGGACTGTCTTTCTTGAGTGCTTTGCAGCTTCCTCCCTACCTCTACCCTACCCTTTTTAAATCTTTAAAATTGTTTGGGGCCCATTTTAGCAAATACAAATACCAGATAAAGATACTAGGTAGTTTGAGGATAATGATCCCTTATGTAGTATTTTCCTGGTTAAAAACATTTTTGCAGTAATCAAATCATTCTCACAGTGATTCTGGGAGGTGGAGAGACAGATATAGTAAAAAAAAAAAAAAAAAAAGACTGATTGGAATTTGCCTCTCCTTTTAGGACCAGATATACAAGTATGTTTTATACTTATTTATTCTGAGATTTACTATATTCACAGCAATGCAAGTATGGAATAAACAGATTTAAAGTACTCTGTGGTAGCTAGTTTTTGGTATCTTCATAAATCTTTGTACCTCCGATGAGTTAAACATTTTTATTCAAGACAGTGAAAATTTGCAGCACAACTAAAAGAGTTGACTTATACTCTCAGAGTCATTTGTTTACTATGAAATGTATTTCATCATTCTAGGATTTTAATTATTCAATTATCATCTCGACTTGTGCTGTTTATCATTCCCAGTTTATTGAACCTGACGCTTTAGACTTATGTTTTATGTTTTTTCTTTCTTTTAATTTAGCATTGTCCCAATCCCATCTTCTAATGAAGAAATTCGCTTAGTTGATGATGCTTTTGGGAAAATTTGTCACATGGTCAGTGATGGATCCTGGGTGGTTCGAGTTCAAGCTGCAAAGCTATTGGTAAGTTACACTCTTTTATTTATTAAATATATTTTTATTGATTTCAAAGAGAAAGGGAGAGGGAGAGAACGATAGAAACATCAATGATGTGAGAGAATCATTGATTGGCTGCCTCCAGCACTCCCCACATTGGGGATTGAGCCCACAACCCAGGCATGTGTCCTGACCCGGAATCAAGCCATATCCTTCTGGTTCATAGGTTGACGCTTAACCACTGAGCCACGTCAGCGCTACAAGTTACACTTTCTTAGTGAACACGTTGCCTGTTACACTTATACAAACATTTTGAGAAACTACAGGTAGGGACAGTTGTAACCCACTATTAGAAATGATAGTGTTTCTTAAAATAGAAAGAAATAGCTCACTTTCCAATGGAGAAGTATAGTCTTTTAGAGCTAGAAAGAATTTTAAAGACATTTCTATTTACATTTGTTAGCTTATAAGATAGCCAAGGCCTAGGGATAAAAGTAAATAATAATAAAAATAGTTGCTTCCGTTTACTAAGCACCTTTTATGACCTAGATACTATGAGGCCATTTACATGATCTCACTTATTCTTCACAGTAACCCAGCAAGGTAGATATTGTTATTCCCATTTTCCAGGTGAGAAAATTGAGGCTCTGAGAAATGAATTCAACTAATCCAAATGGAAAGTTGTGGAATGGGATTCAGATACTAATCTCCTGACTTTTAGCCTGGTACTCTTCTGTTTTGCCTTTGGGGATTCAGAGTACATTTATTTTTTAAAAAAAGTTAATTTTTCAGAGATGGAACTGTTTTATAAAAGGAGTGTTGACCTAATAATAGCCTTATTTCATATCTGTGTTATCTTTGAGATGTCACTTGACCTTAGTTTTGGTTTCCTCATCTATTAAGAGGGTTATGATATCTCTCATATTTACCTCACTGAGTTGTCATGATGCTCAAATGAGATACTATAAATTGTAACATATTCTATGTGTGATAGTGGGGGTTATTATAGTATATACATACATACACACACACGCGCGCGCGCATATCTATAAAATTTTGTGAATATCACAGCAAGAAAATCTGAGATTCTTTTTGGACACTTTCTTTTTGAGGGCCTCCAACACTGCCAGTCTTGGTAAAATTGTTGGCTAAATACTTTGGACATGACTGTACTGGACTCAGACCCAGTGGTAGCCCTATTTCTATGACCAGTATTTATGGAGTAATTGCTAAAAACTGTGTGATGCATTTTTATGGAATAATAAGGAATTTGGATGATATCAGTATTGCTTATGAATTATACTAGAGGCCCGGTGCACAAATTTGTGCACGGGTGGGGTCAGGCTGGCCCGCCACAATGGGGGCCGATCGGGGCCAGGCTAGTGGGGAGAAGGGGAGGCGGGAGGTTGGCCAACCAACCCTGCCCCCGATCGGGATGGGGGTGCCGATAGGGGACAGGCCAGCAGGGGGAGGGGCTGATCGGGGCCTCGATCAGGCCAGTTGGCCACTGCAGTGTGCGTCATAGTGTGCGTCAACCGGTCGTTCTGGTTGTTCCGGTCGTTCCGTTGTTCTGGTTGCTTGGCTTTTATATATATAGATTGCTTGTTCATAATAAAATACAGAGTTAAACCAGTTGTTACTGATTTTATTTTTGAATTCACATTTTAAAACTTTGTTTTGGTTCTAGCTGGTGTGGCTCAGTTGGCTGGGCACTGTCTTGTGCACCAAAGGCTTGCTGGCTAGATCCCCATTGTGGGGTGTGCAGGAGGCAGCCGATCAATGTTTCATTCTTGCATCAATGTTTCTCTCCCTGTCTCCCTCTCCCTTCCTCTCTCTCTAAAAATCAATTAAAAAATTTTAAAACAAACAAAAATGGAACTGATAATAGTATTTATTTTGGAGGGGGACTAAATGAATTAATGTATGTATAAAGCACTTAGTGCATGACACAGTGAACTCTATTTAGGAACTAGCTGCTGCTGCTGCTAATGTTTTTGTTATTTTCCTGCTGATTCAGAATCCATAGGCATCTTTAATGTTAAGAATAATGTTATCTTTACACATTGACTGCAAACTTTGACTATTGAGATAATGTTCAGATCTTAAAAGATGTTCAGTTTGTTTTGGATTCTTTTTTTTTACAGGGCTCTATGGAGCAAGTCAGTTCTCATTTCTTGGAGCAGACGCTTGACAAGAAGCTGATGTCAGATCTAAGGGTAACTTGAATTCTCTGTTGTTTAAACTGGGTTTCTGGAATTAACATCAATGTAACAGTATATGCCAAGCTGATATTGGTTTAATTTTGCAGCCCATGCATTTGTTAAATTAATGATGATTAGATTAATTTAGGATGATTAGATTACATTTACTTTAAAATCTTAGTAACTTGAACCAAATTAAAAGTTACTTCATTAAATTTTAAATTGTTATTATGAAATACTTTGCACAAGTTGTGTTCTACAGAGAAGAACCAGTATGAATTTTCCTTTTCTTAGAAATTGCAAAGGTCTGGTCTTATATTTTAAGATTGTGACATCTGAGGGCTCCTTTTCAGTAGCAGTTCCCATGGAAGAGTGAATAAATTTTTTCTCTGAACTGTAACAAAATGCCTCTTATGGAATGCCTTTAAGCTTTTACTGCGACCGTTCTTTGATATATTTGCCAGAACCCAATATGAGTCTGAGAATATGATATGTTCATTTATTGTCAATATCTTTATTTATTTATTTTTTTGTTAACACTCACCCCAGGATATTTTTTCCATTGATTTTTAAAGAGAGTTGAAGCGGGGGAGGAGGGAGGAAATGGATGTGAGAGAGACACATCAATTGGTTGTGCTCTGCATGTGCCCCAACCAGGGATGGGGATTGAACCTACAACCCAGTAACATGCCCTTGACCAGGAATCGAGCCTGCAACCCTTTGGTGTAGTTCTCCCCAGCTCTTTTTTCTTATGCATGTTTTAAACACTGTATGCAGATAGTTTTGTGGTTTTGTAAGTCTACTTTTTACATTTGCCACAGTATCATATGCTTTTTCTCATATTGCTAACTTTATACTTAGCATTTTTATTGATTGCATAATATTCTTTTAAGTAAATGAATCATCATTTTTAAGCTCATCATAATACATTTAGATCCTTCTAATTTTTCCATCCTAAACCACATAAAGAATATTATCTTCTGCATATTAGCTCCTTTCTTCTTTTGAGCTATTTGGTAACATAAGATAAATTCTAAGGAATGGTTGAAGAGTTGATATGAAATATTGCCATTTGGCTTTCCTTCATTTGAGGTAAGTGATTGATTAAGTGTTCTTTTGTATTCTGGGGGAGAAGTATAAAGAAGGATATGCTCATAGTGAATGGTGAGGGATGGGTGATCCAAAGGTTTCTAAGACACATCACAAGGTACAAACTTTCCTACTGGGTCTGACCCACATCCCTGTAGGCTCAAGTGCTATATTTCATCAGTGCCTTTAAGATGATCAGCCATGAGGATGTGGAGTCACACCAAGAATGTTCAAAAGAGGCAAATTATAAAGTATTTATAAGAGTCATAACCCTCAAGTGGACTGAATATTTACTTTTGTAACCAGTATATTCCCCATTAAGCATTCTGTGCAGAAAATGAATTTACTAGAAGGTTGCTTGGGAGCACAGTATTGCTCAAATAGAACACAGTGTTGTCAAATGGAGACTTCTACTGGGACTGAAAAAGTTTTTTTCCTAGGGCCAGTGTATTATCTACCCGGCATGGTGCTTGGAGGGACACTGCCATTGTTTAGCTCTCTGGTTCTCTCTTTCCTATGTTGTCATTGCAAACATGAACACCTGTCTGATCAACACACTTTTTCACTGTCTTTAATAAGGTTACTATCTTTAATAAAGTTACTATCAGCAGTAATAGACCTGTGAGCCTTTGGTCTTTAAGTTGAATTTGCATTTCTCTGCTCTGGTCTATTGAGTGTTTTTATTTTTTGCAAGTGTAACTCTGAGAGAGCAGTCTTATTTCCTGCCTACCGTGTTTTCAGGGTGCATCTTATTCTTCCTTCTTGAACCTCCTGCAAGTGGTAATTGTTGTTGTCCTCTACAGAGGAAACGCACTGCACACGAGCGTGCCAAGGAACTTTATAGCTCAGGGGAGTTTTCCAGCGGCAGGAAGTGGGGAGATGATGCTCCCAAGGAAGAAGTAGATACAGGGGCTGTGAACTTGATCCAGTCAGGAGCTTGTGGAGCTTTTGTTCCTTCCTCTCTGTAAAAAATCAATAAAATATATTAAAAAAAAAAAAAAAAGAACTAATGTTCTACTTAGACTGGACTGTGGAACGACCTTCCGGAACGACCAGGGAATGGGGCGGGGGCAGGGCCAGGGAGCCTGCATTGCCAGGCCAGCCATGGTGATCCCGGCGCCCCCCCTTCCGCATAGGCAGCAGGAGAGGGGGCTGCTCAGTCCTGGTTCCAGTGCCACACCTTTTACAGAGGCAGTGAGAGAGGGGGCGGCATAGTCCCAGTGCCTCCTGAGAGGCGGGATGTGGCGTGACTGAGGTGCCTCAACCTCCCATGGCCCCCCCGCCCCCCCCCCCACCCCCAGAAAAATAGTGCGTGGGGGGGGAGGGCCCAGTGCTATGAGACAGGAGAGCTCTTTCTGGTATAAGTGCCCCCCCCCCACCCTTCCC